CAGTCTCCCTGCTTGATGTCACTAGACTGCAGCCCTGTTTGGAGGATGGAGTGAGCACTCTGGAGAGGAACTGGTTTTCTTGGGGTGTTGTCCAGGACCATTGCCAGCTTGATGGGGTGCCAGGGCAATGACTCCTTGGTCTGCTCTCCCCCAGCCACTCCTGACAGATGCCAGCAGGACCACCTCCACCTGGAAGGATTTCCGGAGGAAGCTGCGGCTGCTGGTGCCATATATGTGGCCGAGGGGCAACCACCTGCTGCAGGGGCTTGTGCTGTTCTGCATGGCACTCATGGGGCTGGAGCGGGCTATCAATGTCTTCGTCCCCATCTACTACAAGAACATTGGTGAGGCATCTGGAGTTTGGTGTGTGAGGCTCGCCACAGCCTCACCAAGTTCTGGGGGTGTTGAGGTGACCTGGAGGGTTGCAGGGGGTCAGGGTCCAGAACTGGGTGCTGGGGCTGTTTCCCACAGGCACCCTGGGATGCTCCCTGTCCCTCCATCCTGACCCTTGGCACACTTCCTACAGTGAATGAGCTGACAGTTGGTGCTCCCTGGCACACCCTGGCCTGGACTGTCTGCAGCTATGTGGGGCTGAAGTTCCTGCAAGGTGGAGGTGCTGGTAAGGACCATTGGGAAGGATGGAGCACTGATGAGAGATGATATTGGGCACATCATACCAGTGCTGGGGTGGCCAGGGAAGCCCATATGCCCCATCACTGCTGCTCTCTTGGAATCAGCAGCCTGGGCTGGTCCCAGGTTAGGGGGAGCGAGTGGGCTTCATCCCATATCCCCCTTTCCCAGCTGGACTTTTGCAAGTCTTCTGCATGCCCCAGTGGAGCTGATCTCGGTTGACCTTTCCACGTTGCCCTGCAGGCTCCACTGGCTTTGTGAGCAACCTGCGCACTTTCCTGTGGGTGTGGGTGCAGCAGTTCACCAACAGGCAGGTGCAGGTGCAGCTCTTTGCCCACCTGCACGGGCTGTCCCTGCGTTGGCATCTGGGGCGTCGCACTGGTGAGGTCCTGCGTAGCGTGGACCGGGGCACCAGCAGCATCAACAGCCTGCTCAGGTCAGAGTGTGCCTATGGCAGGTGAGGGGGTTGGCTGGACAGCCCCACCGAGCCAGGCTGATGCTCCATCTCTCCTCCCACCCACCAGCTACATCATCTTCAGCATTGTCCCCACCATTGCGGATATTGTCATCAGCATAGTTTACTTCACCTCGGTCTTCAGCGCTTGGTTTGGCCTCATCATCTTCGTGTGTATGAGCCTGTACCTGAGTGAGTGAGGGGGCTCATGGTGCAGGGCTGCCAGTCTGTGGGGTGGCAGGAGCCTTGCAATGCAGCTTCCTCCTGTCCACAGCTCTGACCATCTTCATCACTGAGTGGAGAACCAAGTACCGTCGGGACATGAACACACGGGACAATGAGGCCAAGTCCCGGGCCGTGGACTCGCTCCTCAATTTTGAGACGGTACTGTAGGAGTTGGGGGGGGTCACTGAGGACTGCTTGGGTGCTGATACCAGCTCTGCTCCTGTAGGTGAAGTACTACAATGCAGAGAGCTATGAGGTGAACCGCTTTAATGATGCCATTGTCAAGTACCAGGTATGGGGTGCTCAGCACCTTTAGGGGCACCAAGGGGGAAGAAGCCAAACCTCACAGGCACCTTTGGGGATGATGGAGATCACCAGAGATCACTGTCTGTTTTGGAGGCAGCAGCATCTCACAGGACTTTGTCTCTTCCAGGTCTCAGAGTGGAAAGTCAGTGCCTCACTGGGCCTCCTCAACCAGACCCAGAACCTGGTCATTGGCCTAGGGCTGCTGGCAGGGTCCCTGCTTTGTGCCTACTTTGTCACTGAAAGGAAGCTGCAGGTAAGGGTGGTGCCAGCCTGTGCACACTCCTGCTGAGGTGGAGCCGTGGGCCTGGTGGTTACAGACCCCTATACCCTGTCCCTTCCAGGTGGGGGATTTTGTCCTCTTCGGCACCTACATAATCCAGCTCTACACGCCACTCAACTGGTTTGGGACTTACTATAGGTAATGCTGGGAGGTGTGGAAGTGCCTGGTATCCCCCTCTCCATGGATGACTGGGTCAGTATGTGCTGCCCCAAACCCTTTTCTCTGGTCTTTGCCCTCTTCAGGATGATCCAGAATTCATTTGTGGACATGGAAAATATGTTTGAGCTTTTCCACGAGGAGCAGGAGGTGGGTGCCACCTTTCCTGGACCTTGCTCCCTCACTGGGCCTGTGGTCCTGCCCTGGGGATTGACTGGCTCTGAGCCTGAGCCTCTACTTTGACAGGTGAAAGATGTGGTGAACGCTGGTGACCTGCGCTTGGAGGCTGGGCAGATTGAGTTTGAGAACGTGCACTTCAGCTACGTGGATGGGTATGGGGTACTGGGCACAGGGTGGGAGCTGCTATAGGGATGTGGGGCCATGGAGTGGCCCTGAGCCCTTCTCCATGCCCCTCTTCCAGGAAGGAAATCCTGCAGGATGTCTCTTTCTCTGTGATGCCTGGGCAGACCCTGGCTCTGGTGAGAGTGGGACTGTGAGTTCACTGTGGGAGGGAAGGATGGGGGTAGAGAGGTTAGAAAATATGAAGGTGGGAAGAACAGGCCCCAGCAGGTACAGCCCTTTCCTGTCCAGCCCGTGGCCTTCAGCAACTGGGAATTTGCCATCTCTAAGTCCCTTTTCCTTTTTGTGTAGGTGGGACCTTCAGGCTCTGGAAAGAGCACCATCATCCGTCTGCTCTTCCGCTTCTATGATGTACAGGGTGGCTGCATCCGCATTGATGGGCAGGACATCTCCCAGGTGAGGGGGGAGGGCCTCCAAGGACCGGGGAGGACACACCAGCTCATCTGGGCCTTGCAGCACTGCTCAGTGCAGGCACCCAGATATTTGCATGGGAAGAGCATTGAAGGGAGGAAGGAAAAGCAGTGCAGCATGCTCTGACTTCATGGCTGATCCCCAGGGTAGGGGTGAGCATGCAGCCCCCACAGCCCCTTTGCAGGCCAATGGCTGTGCCAGAAGTGGCAGAATGGCATGACTCTGGGACCCCAGGCTGAAATGCTGGGTGCTGACCGGGGCTCCCTGGCAAGGACTAGGGCACTGTTAGGGCTCCCCACTGCAGAGTGGAGATGCAGCTGAGCCTGTGGTGCAGGGCAACCCTGCAGCACACAACTTGCAAGGAATGGGGCTCATGGCTGAGGGCAGGATTGGGTTTTGGAGGGATCTTTGAAGTTGGTGTGGGTCTGCCTGAGCCCTCTCCCCTGCCTCCCAGGTGAAGCAGGCTTCGCTGCGTGCTCACATTGGGGTGGTGCCCCAGGACACCGTGCTTTTTAACGACACCATCGCCAACAATATCCGCTACGGACGGATCCTGGCCACTGACCAGGAGGTACAGGAGGCAGCCCGGGCTGCTGACATCCACGACCGTATCCTTTCTTTTCCTGATGGTGAGACCCCTGCAGTTGCTGCCATTCCATGGTCCCCTAAGACCTTCTAGTTGTCCTCACAGGTATCCTTGGGTGACATCTCCTACAGAGACACCTGCATGACTTTGTGTCTTGCTTTGCCTTTCCCTGCCTTCTTTCCAGGGCTAGATCAGCCCCTGGACAAGGATAAGCTGAGGTTCCACCATGTGGCTCTGTGGTCACAGCAGAACCTCCCAGGGCAGTAGGTCCCCATCTCCATTTCAGAGGGCACCAGCACATCATGTTTCTGCTCTTGTGGCTGCAGGATACAACACCCAGGTGGGAGAGCGGGGGCTGAAGCTGAGCGGGGGCGAGAAGCAGCGTGTTGCCATCGCACGCACCATCCTGAAAGGTCCCCACATCATCCTGCTGGATGAGGTAACAGCAGTGGCCCCAGCCCAGCCTTACCCAGCTCTGCAGCAGCCCTATGCCTAGCAGCTGCCCACACCACCTCTATCCCTTCCTCATGTTGTGTCTCACCTTGCAGGCCACATCTGCACTTGACACAGAGACTGAGAGGAACATCCAGGCTTCCCTGGCCAAGGTCTGCGCCCACCGCACCACCATTGTTGTTGCACACAGGTAGGGACAAGGGGAAGGGGCTGATCCGGGAGGTGCTGGCCAGACCCTGCAAGAGGGGCACACAGACCTGCCCCCTGCTCAGGAGGTGAGAGCCCTTGGGGTTGCATCTCCTGGCACTGTGCAAACCCTCAGAAACCCTCTCCCACCCAAGTCAGGGTAACACCTGCTTTTCCCTGCAGGCTCTCCACTGTGGTAGGTGCAGACCAGATCCTGGTGCTTAAGGATGGGCACATTGTGGAGCGAGGGAGGTGAGCACAAGGGGAGGGCTGGGGGAGGGAATCTCCTCCCTGGCTCTGGGACCAGCTCAGGACCCTGCATCCCTCCGCTCTCCCCACAGGCATGAGGAGCTGCTGCAGAAGGGTGGTGTGTATGCTGGCATGTGGCTGCAGCAGCAGACTGGGGACGAGGGTGAGAGCAAGGAGCACCACACTGAGAAGCCCCAGAGCAGCAAGAAAACATCATGAACATGACCAGGAGTTCTGCTGTGATGCTGACTTGGGTCCAGGCCCCCACACTGCCTGGGAGTCTTTTGCTGGCTGCAGGCAAAGGCCCTGCGGGGTCTTGGTTGGACACTCCACTACATTTGTACATGTTTGTTTTGCTGTTGTGTAATTTCTTAAACCAGGTCCTTCCCAGGTCCATACCTGTGTGCTCTGGCCAGAGTACGTGCCTCTTGGTGGGGGCAGGCAGGGTTAGTGCCTGGGCACTTGGGTCAACTGGCAGCTCTGCCACAAGGTTGAGCTCCTTGGGCTTAGGTGGGCAAGGGGTTGAGCAGGCTGTCAGCACCTCCATCCCCACTGGGGATGAGCTTGGCAGGGAGCTGCACCCCAACAGCAGTGGAAGAGCAGGGCAGCTGTTGTGCCCTCACCCCTGTGTGCCCCCCCAGTTCAACCACCTTCCACAGAGACATGCCACTCTGGGCTGGACACCAAGTGACTGCTCCCTCAGGTACCTCTGTACCTTGTGCTATGCTTTTATTTTCTCCCAAGCAGCACTTTGACAAGTCTACACATTCCCTGGACCCAGCTTGAACCTCCTCCCTCAGCTGCTCAGAGCAGGACAGCCCAGTCCTGTGTAGAACCCGGCACAGCCCTGCAGGCAGGAACCGCTACAGCAGCAGGTGGGAAAGCAGCACAGCTCTGCATGGCTGCAGATCCCCTGCAAGAGGCCAGCAGGACAAATCTCCTCTGCCCAAACAGGCTCTAGGCTCAGGGCTTTGTCTGTAAGGAGGGGTTCTGTGCTATTGCTATCCAGGAGGGGATCCCCAGCAACACAACTGGAAGAAGGGAGGCATTCCTACCCCAGCAGCATTTAAACAGGGCCCTGTTTTAAGTGCAGGGCAGCAGGAAGGCAGCTGCAACCATCTCATGTGAGTGACGCTGCCATTCAAGTCACTGCCAAGGTTACTTATTATATTAAACCAGAAAGGAAATGCAGCTCCATTCAGTGTCAGAGAGGTCTTGTGCCCCAGCCAAGCAGGGTAAGGCCCAACGTGCTCTTGTACATGCAAACAGCAGGGAGCACCGAGGGTGTGGGGAGCAGGGAATGGGCTGCTTTCACACTGCTGGGAGGTTGCACATTCATCCATGCCATGCCCAGGCAAGAGACCATTCCAGCCGCTTTTGCTCTTTGCTGAGGGGCTGGCACAGCCCTTCCCAGAGCATGGAATCCAGCCCCCCCACTACAGAAGGCAGCTACATCCCAGCTGTATGTTTGAGCATGCAGATATGTCCCCACACAGCTCTGCCCTCGCCCCACAGTCCCAGCAGTGTTGGGACACGGCTGTGGCAACTGTGGGTAAGTGCAGACCCTGGGCTGCTGCTTGCTTTGGTGTGTACCCAGCCCCGTCCTGTACAGCCTTCACCTCCCCAGCAGCATCAGCAATTTGCTGCACTAATTTTATATAGGTACTAGGGCTGAAGTGTCAGTGTATATTTGGTTGCTTACAGCTCCCAGGGAGATGAGCTGTCCTTGGCAAGGGGCTCTTGGTACCAGTGTCCAGGCCAGAACCCCATGGCATCCGTGTGGGAGGCCAGAGCCGCTCCTCAGGTCACAAGCAGGTCCTGTGTCCGCTGGCACACCCCACCTCACCTGCCTACGACATGCTGCAGTTTGATGGCTTTGAACCGTGCACCTGGAACAGAAAAGAGCACACAGTGAGCAAGGGCAAGCAGGCTTCTTCTTCTCCCCTACAAGAGGGCACATCCAGTGTTCAAGTTCCCAGAGATGTGTGCTCAGCAGTGATGCTGCCACTGCCCCAGGCTGGGCTGCCCTCCTGGTGAGGAAACCCAGGCTACACAGAGGCCAGAGTAAGCAGAACCCAGGGAGGCCCCCTGCCTCAAACAGCGAGGCCAGGATCAGCCCCACAGCCACGCAGAGCCCATAGCCAGCCCTCACTCACCTGCCGCTGCGACTGCTGGTACTCGGCTTCGCTCGCTGACAGTGCCTGGGCCAGTGCCAGATCCTCCTCCTCCTGTGTGCTGCTGGGACAGTGGTGCATTGTGTGCCTCTGCCTCCCTCGGGCTCATGGGCTGAGTGCTCAGAGCCCTTCTGGGTTTCAGCATCCCACTGCAACCCCTCAGCATATCTTAAGGCAGGGAGCAACTGAGGATAACTTTGAAGAGGCATGGGGTTGGGGAGGGAGCAGAAGATCCAGCTAGGGCTGGCAGCCAGAAATCTGGACCAAGGAGAGCAGTGTTAAGTCCAGTCAATAAGATGGTGCTTTTAGCAGCACTGGGCACTGTGCCTGGGGACATGAGCTCCCCAGGTGTCCTCCATGAACACCCCTACTCCATCTATCACACTCCAGCCAAACCCATGAGCTGGCAAGTTGTCAGACAATGATTTGCCCTACTCTGTGTGTCAGTCACTGTCCCCTACCAGCACCCCTAGGGCTGAAAGCTTGCTTGCTGAACAGAGTCCCCTATTGGCTCTGGGCTCTTCCTTTTTTTCCCTGTCAGCCAGAGAGGCGTCATATGGAAACACGTGCTAAGAGGAATGCTATCCCAGAGCCACATGATGCTCCCCCAGGCACCTTTCACACAGAGGATGGGTGCACAACACATCACACCACGTGTTTTGGGGCTGTACCTGGGCTGCTGTGCTGAGGTGCGTGCCGACTCTGCCAGGGACATCTCCAGAGCTCGCTGCAATGCCTCTTCCTCACTCTGAAACAAAACACCTTGTCACCAGCGTGGCCAGGGTGGGGGGCAGGAGGCAGCCCTGAAGCACATGTGGCAGGTACAGTCTTTCCTGGCCAAGGGCGGGCAAATCTTCTCTCTCCAGAAGACCAGACAAGCCAAGGTGAAAAACTGGGGCTCTGGACAGACCAGTGGTGCTCATCCCCTACCCAAGGGGACACTCCTGCTTGCTAATGCAGGAGTATGCCAGGAATACCAGTGGAAAGCAATTTCCAGTCTCCTCCAGCCTTTTCTTGTACTACAGAAAGACAACACCCAAGGAAAATGGCTGGTGCACTTTGTCTCTTTGAGGAAAGCTAAGCACCAAGCACACCTGAGAGCCATCATTGGCAAGCTCTGATTTCCCACAGAGCATTCAGGATCATTGGCTGCCAGGGAAGACACAGCTGGGAGCACAGTCACCTACAGAGTGTGGGCTAGAAAGCATTTGCTGCAGTCACTTCCTAGAAGGCACAGAAACCACCCCAAATGGCCAGGCCAAGCTACTCACCAGCCCATTCTGCAGCATGACAGCTGGAGGGGAGGTGCTGCGAGTCTGCGACGCAGCTGCTCTGCCTCCCCTGCAAGCAGAAGAAAAGCTGCATTACTGTCAAGGCAGGGAGCCCTAGTATGAGTATCCATCCCGCTGCGGCACAAGAAGAAGGGAGCTGTTACTCTGGCATTCCACGCTGGTCACGCCCACCTCACAATTACAAGTCAGGCCATCACCTTACCTGGCACAGGCCAGGGAAGAGGAGCTGTCTGCTGGCCGGGCAGCTCCGCTGCTTGATGCGGTGACTATTTTGGAGGAGGATGCCTGGGCTCTGGTAACTGCAGCATGCCTAGGACAGACAGGATGCCGTGAGAAACTGTTCACCTTCATGAGCAATTCCTAGGCATTGAACACTTTGGGATATCAAGCTGGATAAATAAGACACCTCCCTCGTTCCTCTTCCTCCCATGTTGCAGCTGTTATTCCCAAGAGTTTCAATTGCTGTTTCTCTCCCTAAAACCCTGTACCAGGACTGGCAAAAACCATTGGCCACAGAATAAAGGGCTGGGGAAAGAAGCAAGAGCAAAGCAGTCAGCAGGCATTACTGACAGCTTTTGCTGCAGCAGAAACTGTGTATACTGATGTGCTTGGTGCTGCAGGAGGACACCCTGGCACACAGGGCAGGGAGTGTGACAATGCAGCAGTCCCAGACAATGGGTCAGGAGGAGCTGGGCTTCTTCTGTATCCCCAATCTGGCAAACACAGCCCCACCCCTCCCAGCCTGATTGTTCTCAGGCCCTCACCCTGCTTTGGAAAGGGGATGCCCTGCCCCACTGCAGTCATGGTCCAGGGGGTGCCGGTGCTTGAGGCAGTAGTTCTTGTGGCACTGGTCACAGATGACCTTCATCATCTCCTTCTGCTTACAACCAGGCTTCAAACACTTATTGGTGAAGATCTGAAAGATGACACAGCAGTGGTGAAAAGAAGCACATACTGTGGAGCTGTCCCTTCTCTCCATGCCAGGCCCTGGGCAGAGACCACCCTTCCCCACCAGTGTTATCTTCTGCAAGGCACTGAAATTTGTATCTTAATACTTTCTTAGATATCTCTGAATAATTTCTTTAGCTAGTTCGTTAGTAATTCACTGGTTCCTCAGTCTCCATAGACAAAGAGTCTCCACAACCAGAATGCACAGCAGGAGAAAGAGTGCTTTGCCCAGGGACTCCTGCCTTCCATGCCAGTGCAGTGGGGATAGCCCAGGGTACTCCAGCTACTGCTGGGCTGGATTCCTGCAGGGCCAGCTGCCTGCAGCAATTTCATCTTCTGGCAAAATGGGGTAGTTAATTGCCAATTGCATTTTCCTAATGGCAGCATGCAGTTTACCATCCTTATGTCCTAGCCGGCTGCACAGCCCTACTCCATCACCATCTTGCTCCCTCGACAGCCTCCACAGAGCCCTGCAGATGTGCACACCTCCAGCTCACCAACCCTCCCTCTGTGCCAGAGACAGCACCAGGCAGGGCTGAATCTGTGTTGTTTTCATCCCATGCCAGGCTCCATCAGAGACCTGGCAGAGCTCACCTGGCCCAGCCACACAGTACATACCTTGCGCTTGCGTTGTGCAGGGTCAGACTTGCAGTCACGGTCAATGTGCTCACCCACCACAACATCAGGCATCTCCCCCCGCCTCACAGGGACTGGGGTGTTGCAGAGGGGACACACTGGGACCTGCACATCCTGCAGAGACAACAACAAGGAGCTGGAAGCAGGTAGCTGGGCAACCTTGAGCGCTGCAGTCACCTCTCTACCTTTCAGGACCTGCCTACCATGGCTTCCACAGCTTCAGCTGCAGTTTGAGATCCTGCTCATGACCCTCCAACCAGCTTGCACAGCAGGTGCAGAGGCACAGACATACACTCAGGGAAAGGAAGATCGTGTGGCTGGGAAATGCCCAAACTGCTTCACCAGTGGGAGAGAGACGGCTGGATGCTTACGGTACTGAGATGCAAATCCTGGCTTTCAGGTACATCTTCAGACTCAGTACACATCCCCAGGGGGACTGCTCAAGTGACCAAAGTCACCACAGATTATGATGATCGGCGGCTAGAAAAGCTCAGCAGCTCCATGCAGGAGGGTGGATGAGATCTGCTCCCTGCACTTACCTTCTTGTAGGCAGAGGTGCAGTCATGCTGGGCATAAGCGATGTGGTCGGTGCAGAAGATCTGCTCACAGGCATCGCACTTCAGGGGAAGGAAGTCTAGGAGCAGGATATGGCATGGACAGAGAGCATGGAGATCAGCACTGCCCACCCGCAGCCCGGGGACCTCCCCGACTTCCCGAAGACAAAACAGGGACCCGCGGCAAAGCCAGGGCCACACCTCTCATCCCCCAGCACGAAAACAAAAGGGCTGCAGGTCCATAGCCACGTCTTCAGAAATACCCAGGGCTCCTCCTCAAAACGTGCGGTCCCCGAGATCAGGAGTAGCATCCTGAATCACACCAAGCTCCCCCCGCGGGCTGCCGGCCTGAAACCGGTGGGAAGTGATGCTGCCACAGTCGCTAGGGGCTGTGCCCACCGTGATGCCCGGGGTGTGGAGGGGTCCCAGCGGCCCCGCCGCGGGCAGTCTCCCCGGCATGCAGCACCGAGGCCCGACAGGGGGTGCCTGTCCGGGCCCTGCCCCGCTATTCCCGGGCAAGAGCCGCTTGGGTAGAGCCGCGAACCCGGACAGAGCCAGCGGCGGAACCCGGTCTAGCGGCACGGACAGCCAGCCCCGCCCTAGCGGGGCAGCCGGCCGGACCGGGACCCCTTCGCCCCGCTCCCGAGCCCGCAGGCCGGGCCGCCCGCTCCGCGCCGCCCAGGCCCGAGGCCGCGGCCGGCCGGCCGGCGAGCCCGCCGCGCCCACCCCCGGTTCCCCGGCGCTCACCCAGGCGCTGGCAGGCGGGCCAGGAGCAGTGCGCGCCCAGGTCCGGGAACTCCATGGCGGCACGGCCGCCACCGGCACCGGCGGCCCCGCCGCGCCCGCTTCCGGCGGGGCGTCACGGGGCGGCACCAGGCACAGCCCCGCCTCCCCTCCGGATGCCCTTCCTCCGGGAGCACCGCCGGGACCCGTGGGGAGACCCGCTCCAGACACCTGCCCGGCGCCGGGGGAAGGCTCAGGGCAAGGCGGAGTCCACGAGGGCCATCCCCAGAACCATCCTGCCCTGCCAGGCCAGCAAGAGGTGTCTGCCGCCATGGGACAGCTTGAACGTATCCCTCCTTCCTTCCTCCTCTGCCCCAAGGGACACAAACCACGGATCCTGCCGTGTAAGAAAGCTTCTGGTTCTATTCCAGTCACCTCGGAGTCTCCAGGTGCCATGTTAGGATGCCCAGCAGAGCCCGGAAGGGCTGCTAGAAGGGTCAGTGGTGCGGAAGGCAAGAGATGCCACAGCAGCAAAAAAATGGAGTACTGAACAGGGCCAGGAGTGAATTTCATTGATTGCAAAAAAATCAACTCCACAGCCACCCAGCAACAGAACTCAAATGAGACAGGGGAAAAAAACAGGTATCGCCCAACACCCTGTTCCAGCAGTGACACAAAAGACAGTAACAGTCTGCGGAAGAGGTTTCTTTGCACAACACCCATCTGCCCTTGCCCCCTTACTGCTACCCTCTGCTCCAAAGTCCCCTTTCCCTTTGCTTGCCCCTGAGAGCCACATTTGACTGTGCACCCCGTCCCTCCCCCCAGACAAAACCAATGGAAGTTAAAATTATTTACACTTTTAGCCATTTAAAAACCCAATAAAATAAGATTGCATATGTCCTACTGGGGATGTGGGTATTAGCAGCAGCTACAGCTAGCTCAGTACTCAGCGTGCAAAACAAAAGACAAACAGAAGACAGACCGAAATACTGCACCATTACTAGGAAGCGTTTGCTGGGGTTGGTGTTTCAATTGTGGCATAAGGCTTCTAGGAGCCGGCTCCTCCCCAGCTGCAGGGCCTCCTGCTCAGCCAGTGAAGGCCAGGCTCTAGAAGGATGGAAAGGGTTCATTATTCCAGACACAGCACATTAACACTGATGCATTTCCATCCCAGTCAAGACAAACATCTAAAAACCCACTGCACGTTCACTGTGTGAGTTTTTCCTTCTTTCCAGTGATGATGGAGGAAAAGGGGGAGCACAGATAAGACCTAAGACATAGAAGTTGCTGTCATCACTGCCTCCTCCTCATCTCCTTGCTTTGGCAGCTCAGCAAGCATGGGAGAGGAGGGAGACAGAGCAGCCTCTTGTGCCTCCTGCTCCTCTCTGAACCCCAGCTCTACATCCATTTGCTCCAACTCCCCCTGATCCAGTAGCTCAAAGTCATCTGCTTCCTCCTCATCCTCCGGTGAAGCTTCTGTCTCTGTCTCCACCACTTCGTTCTCTGACAGGTGTGCTTGGAAGCTCAGTTTCTCTTCGGGCTCTGTGGGGAGGAACTCGGAGAGGGGGGGTCCCTCACTGGCCTCTGAGGACCGCAGGAGGGCAGAGAGGGTATTCTGCACCGCTGTGGTGATGGCAGTGGTGACAATCTCCTCGCTCAGGGTGTTAATGCAGATGCCCAGGCCTGGGGCAGGGACAGTCTTTGGCTCTGCATTGCCTCCTGCCACTTGCCCACTCCCATTGAAGTGCGTATTTACAAAATGGAGAGGAGACGCGAGGCGAAGGATGGAGAGGTCAGAGTCCGCAGCCTCTTTGTCTGCTGAGTCCAGCTCACAGGCAGCGTGGGCAAGCTCGGGACCCAGGGGCACACCAAACGCATCTTCATCACTCTGTGGTCCCAGGTCTCTGGAATGATATTCTTCCACGGATGGAAATTCTGTCAGGTCCTTGGAAAATGACTCCTCTGGCTCACTGTGCAGGCTCTGCTGATCCAGGTCTGAAAGGCACCAGCATTAAGGTACATGTTCCTTAACCTTGACCTCCCACCCACCTTCCCCAGCTGACACACCACAGCTGACTTTAAGGTACCTTCCCCATCCTTGGAGGACAGCGGGAAGAGGTCTGCAGTTACTCCCTCCTGCCAATGGCATGATTCATGTGTAATGTTTCTTTTGTGATCGTGTTCTATGTGCTCTGTTCTCAGAGAGGACTTCCTGCTCCAGCTCATGTTCTCTGTATTTAGTGCCTCCTGTTAAAACTCCAAGGTCACGGAAATGGTGCTTATGTCACTTGCCTGCTCCTTCCCAGACACCCAAGTGGCCACTGAGTGGTTAACTCCATGTTCTTCATCACTAACCAGTCCTTCCCTGAGCTAGCAAGTCTGACCTGTTTCATATATGGGTGTGTGACTATCCTATTCAGTTATTTCTGTGGGACTTTATGGGTGGCCTTGCTCCCTTGCTAGAGTTACAAGATGGCATTGCTCTGTGGGGCAATAATTAGAGGCTGATGTCCATTCAGGACCAGCTTATGATCAGCCATGAAGTCAGAGCATGCTGCACTGCTTTTCCTTCCTCCTTTCAATGCTCTTCCCATGCAAATATCTGGGATCTCTCCCTGTCCTCCCACTTGTATGATCCATTGTTATGGGCCAAAACACTGCAGATAAGGGGGCAGCAAGGTGTCCCATTATGTACCTTCAGAAACGTCCGTCAGCTGTGGGGTGGTAGCCCTTGAAACAGAAAAGCCCCCACTCTCCAGGATAGAAGCCTCCTCATCAGAGAGCTCAGAATCTGTGATTGACAGTGCCAGGACAGTTTTCTTCACATCCACCTGCATGGGATGAAGGCAGAGAGACAAATTCCTGTGTGTCTAAGTACCCATGCTGCCTATGGGCACTGCCAGACCTTCCAGGCAGAAGTCCTTGCTGGAGGGACAGTATGCTGGCAAAGTGCCCCCTGCACTGGAGGGAAGGGTAGTCTCAGCTCACTGGCTTTCCTGCAATGAATCACTGCCCAAAGGTTTGCCTGCTCTCAGTGAAGAACACAGAAGAGGCAGCACAAGATGGGACGAGACTGTAGGAGTCTCAGAAGGCTTTAGATCCTTCTTCTTCTGCTGGGATCCCCAGCAGAAGATCTGCTGGAATTCCTCCTCTTCCCTTTTGCATCCACACAGACCACAACAAAGCCTTCTACAAGTAGCAGTAGTTCAAGTATCCACATCCATGTGAAAACAAGCTTCCCACCTCACAGCCCAGCTACATGCCCAGAGCTGCTCCTTGGTTTGTTTCTGTGGTGCAAATGTAGAAAGGTCACACACAATCTGTCTGAAAGCAGAGAACTGTGTAAGAGACACTAGAGCTGCTCAACTCCCTTTTCCGGTTTTGAGGAGCCTCCACACATTACAGCAGGGAAGTTAATTTTTTTCAGGAGACACATTCTCTGAGCATGAAGCATAACCAACAAAGTAATTCTGAGGTCAGCAGAAGGCTGGGGCATGGCTGGCCCTGCCCTGCTATGGCATCACCAGCTCTCTGGCACCAAATTCTCAATACTCATATTGGCGACAATGGCCTTCATCAAACACATCACCTCTTCCCCTTAGAATTCTGCAAAGAAGTGATTTATTGCTCTGCTGTGTGTTATCATTGTTGCAGTACTCAGACCATGCCTTGGCTCTCAAGCTGCTATAGACCAGAGTGGAGGGACTGGCTCCTGATAAGCTCTTAAAGCTCTTACCACTGGGGAGAAGCCTGACAGCTCTGCTTCGCTCTCACTTTCTGTCTCTGCTGTTGGCTCATCACCTGCTGCAGGCTCGCTCCTCCCTTGTCGTTCTGTGAGAAAGAGAAGAAAGGCATTACATGAAAATGAAGGAATTTTCTGCCTTTATACACCATTATCCCCTACTTCCTCAGTGAAATTCCACAGGGTTCCTAGAGACAAGCATAATCTGTTGCTTTCATGTGTTGTGCTGTTCTCAGGATCACCTAGGAGCACACAGTTGCCCTCCACATAACCCTTAAGTTTCCACCTCTCTTCCCCTGCTCCCCTGCAATCTGTCACCACACAATGTTGGCAGACATGGTCTCCTATTGTCCTTTTGCTATGGCTCCACCCTAGGAATACAGCACCAAAAAAAGCCAGAGAGAAGGTGGTTCCTTACTCTTCTTCTCATGCTTGTGGTGCAGCGTCTCTGCCTTCATACTGTAGTCCAGTTTCATTAGGACAGGCTCCAAACGTGTGTACATCCTCTGGATCAGCTCATGGTAGACCACCAGAGGCCACAGCAGAATGCTAAGCACTGTGGACATGGAATGCAGGGATTGTGAGAGACAGATCAAACACAAGCTGACTCTTCCTGTAGTGCCACTGAGGAAGTCTTCAAGGGAAACACATTTCACTGGCATGTTTGTTCCCATCTGACTGCCTAAAAATCCTCATCCATGGCTCCTCTTACTCATTGCAAAGCTGCTTGATTAACTAGGTTTTACTGCCAGATCTTAGATAGAATATAGATTTATGTTAGGATGAAGCATAAGCCCTTCTCTTCAGCCACTTCACCCCAGACAGTAGGCCTGAAATGAGCTTAAATGAGAATGAAAAACAAGTATTACCAAAACTTTTATATGGGTAGCTGCACAGGGCTCATGTGTAGATGCACTTGCAGCAGAGCACCAGAACAGAGTTATTAGGGACTCATGATGCAGTGAAAAAGGTCTATTTACCCAACATGCAGCTTTGTTAACAACGCTCTCGATATGGATTTGCCCACCTTAGGAACTGTGAGACTGTAACTTCTTGCCTCCCTGGAGCCTCGGCCAGCACAGCCTCAGCAGTGGAGAACAGAGGGAAGCAAGGTTTTAGTCCCGGCTCCCTCTCCTGCCTTTGCAGTGGTACTGCATGCACGTGCTCACAGAGACCTCCTGGAACACACTCCCTGTAAATTGATTCATCACCTAGCACAGATCCCCTCGGGAATACTACAGATCTGCTTTTGCCAGCCTGTCAGCAGCACAGTTAGGTCATGTCTCAGCTTAAGTCAGACAAGAGCGCTGCTTATACTCACAAATAATGTAGGAGATCATTATGCCTGGAACATAGTGTCCAACTACAGCCAGAATCAGGCAGCCTGAACAGACACTCATGCAGAACTGAAGGAAGACAGAGGAAAAAACGTAAGTGACAAGAGGCAGAGATACATCTATGCAACCCATGCCAGAAATATTCAGTGCAACATGAGGGATGGCCCTAACCAAGTCAGTCAGCTCTGCACCAAGTACACTCAGGTGCTGACAGTCAGAACTCGGACAGTTCGGTTGGGTTAAGCTGTAAGCATTAGAGGTTCAAGCGCTGGATGACAAAGGTAACCCAACGCCTCAATAAAACAAATCACAACTTCATCAGACAGTTCTTTATGAAGTAAATT